TTTATGGATTGGGCACACCTTTTGCCGGTTAGCTCCTTCAAGGGTCCGACAAGACTCTGTAAGCTGTCCCGACATTGATTCCGGTTAGCTCCTTTATGGGTTCGACAAGACTCTGTAAACTGTCCCGACATTGATTCCGGTTAGTTTCTACAAGGGTCCAGCAAGACTCTGTAAACTGTCACAACAACTGTCACAACATTGTCAGCTACAACGGTCCTACATGACCCCATAAACTGTCTTCTACATCGGTCTGACACCGCCATCCAGTGTCCTCTACACCGTTATGACACCACCCTACAGTGTCCTCTACATGGTTATGACACCCCCATCCAGTGTCCTCTACAACGTTATGACACTACCATCCAGTGTCTTCACCAATGGTCTGACACGACCATATAGTGTCTCCTATCCTCTTTTATTTTTATGTATTTTCTTGTTTTGTTACTCTCTCCAAACTCAAGTTGGATAGTCCCTATCCCCCTTGAGTTTGCGGGGGGCTGTTAAAATCTACCACACCTACTACACTTACCATCTTACCATCACCTACTACACCTACCACCACCTACTACCATCACCTACTACACCTACCACTTCACTTCACCTACTACATCTCCTATATAAAGAGTACCTCACCATCTGTAATTTATATCAATAATATATCAATAACATCAATCATAATACATACAATTTCTCTCTATATCAATTTTTCTTACATATTTCATTTTTATTGTTTTTGTGTTTTTGTTAAATTTTCCTATTGTTTCTGTGATCTACAATGGCTTATTAGTCTCTTCTGTTGCGTTGCATCGAGTAGTTGTTACTGTTCGTGGTGTATTTGTATTTTTATGTCTAATTAATTCAATGTTTTGTGTGTTTAGTGTGATAAAGTTGTGTTTTTTTAATCATTATTAGGCTTATTGTGCAACTGAAACTTGATCACTTGGGTTTAAATTAATTTTTAATGCGTAAAATTGTCGTCCTACTAATTCAATGTTTTGTGTGTTCAGTCAGTGTAATAAAGTTGTTTTTTTTTATAATGTTTTTTTAAAAATTATTTTAAACTATCATTCTTAGGCTTACCATGCAACCGAAACTACATCACTTGTATGTGAATTAGTTTTTAATTCATAGAATTGCTGTTCTTAAGAGTTTTGCTTTGATTTTTACAATCCGAGCCTGGATTGTGTGTCAAGGAGCGGGTTTTGATGTTTCTGGTACTTTTACAAAACAATTTAGCTTAACTAGAAAACAAAGTACTTGGCTTTTAATGAGAATGGTGGCATGCGTCTTAGTTTTTCAGGTTGATATGCCCATTTAATTCATTGTGTTGTGTGTTTAGTGTAAATAAAGTTTTTGTTTAATGATTCTTAGGCTTACCATGCAATAATAAATTTTTAATGCATAGAATTGCTTTTCTTAAGATGTTTTGCTTTGATTTTTACGATCTGAGGCTGTATTGTGTGTGAAGGAGCATTTTTGGTACTTTTATGAACAATTGATTTCAACTAGAAAGCAAAGTACATAGCATGTAATGAGAGTGGTATGTGCATTGGGGCTGATATGGCCAATCAATTCATTGTATGGAGTTTGTGTGTTAGTGTAATAAAGTTGTTTTTATTAATCATTCTTAGGCTTACCATGCAATGGAAACTAGACCATTTGTATGTAAGTTAATTTTTAATGCATAGAATTGATATTCTGAAGGTGTTTGGCTCTGATTTTTACAATGTGAGCAACGATTGTGTGTGCAGGAGTGGGTTTTGATGTTTTTGGTGCTTTTGCGTAACAATCAGAACAAAGTTCTTAGCTTTTAATAAGAATGGTGGTTTAGTTTATTAAATTATGAAAAGAGAATTTAAAGTCAACAGAAAATAACAAATTGAACTGATGGTTTGGTTTATTCAATTGGGTGTTGGCGAACGGATGAGGTATTAGTTAAATGCTTATATAGAGTTCTTTTGTAGTTTCAACACATTTTGTGATGTTATCTGCTGTGTGTTGGAACTACAAAAGCCTGATCTGCTGGCATTGTGTATCTAGTGACATGATTAAAAGTTATACAATGGGAACGGGTCTAGTTATGATTACAGTTTTTGGGTATAATGATTGTTGCGGTCCTTGTGGAGTTGTTCATCTTTTGCTTTTGATTGATTGTTGAACTCTTTGCGGTCATGGCAGGTCTAGAACCAGAAGGATCACAATTTGATGGTCGTCAGTATGATACCAAAATGAATGAGTTGTAAGCACTTTTTTTTTAATATTATTTTTCTTGCTCTTCAGCTATTTGTTGGTTGACTGTTGGTTGCATGCGTGAGGTTTAATTTGTTTATAATCATTGTATTTGTCTTCTAGACATCAACTTAAAAGTCTCATATGGGTTTCTATTGGCAATGCTAATCATCTCTCTTGGTTTATGATACAGACTTTCAGCTGATGGGCAAGATTTCTTTACATCATATGATGAGGTTTATGATAGTTTTGACTCTATGGGTTTGCAAGAGAACCTTCTGCGGGGCATTTATGCATGCGGTAGACATAATTATGTTTCCTTTATTTATTTATTTATTTTTTATAGGCTTCACATAGGATGTGGCTTTGCTTAAAAGTTTTGGTTTCCTTGTCCATTTGATGGCTCCCCAATTTTCAAGCTGCTTTTTTCAATTTCCAATTTTAATGCTCAATTGGACTAATAGCTGATTTATTGGTAGAGGTTGCTTCTTGCTTCTACATGTTTTAATTGCACTTCGAATGGTTAGGGAATCATGAAATATTGTACGGTGATGCATTAAGAAGCGTTGCATTTTCTGCTTTGCCTCATATGGCTGATGATATTTTGACAATTGGATGTTTCCTATGTAGGTTTTGAAAAACCCTCAGCAATTCAGCAAAGGGGAATTGTTCCCTTCATCAAAGGTTTGGATGTAATTCAACAGGCTCAGTCTGGAACCGGAAAGACAGCAACTTTTTGCTCCGGTATCCTTCAACAGCTTGACTATGGTTTAGTTGAATGCCAGGCCTTGGTTTTGGCACCTACTTGTGTGCTTGCTCAACAGATTGAGAAGGTTATGCGAGCACTTGGAGAGTTTCTTGGCGTGAAGGTACATGCTTGTGTGGGTGGAACCAGTGTTCGTGAAGACAAGCGCATTCTATTGAGTGGGGTTCATGTTGTTGTTGGCACTGTTGGGCGTGTGTTTGATATGCTGAAGAGACAGTCACTTCGTCCTGGTTACATTAAGATGTTTGTACTAGATGACGCAGATGAATTGCTTTCTCATGGTTTCAAGGATCAGGTCCTTCTTTAACCCTATATTAGTGGCTTTTGCATTTCTATTGTAGATTAAGTACTTGAACTGCAATTTTTTGTAGTGTGATGTTGTCCTATTCAAATGTGTGTAGAAACAAGTGCTTATTATATACCTGCAGGAGGATTTGTTTGGTTCAATTAAAAGGTGAACTGGGCCAGGAAGATGGTTGAACAGATAGCGGGTTTAGTAAAGTAGGGAAGAGGGGTTGATGCAGGAACATAATGGGGCAAGTATATTTGGCAACTATATGGGTGACACGCGGCATTTTATCTATATTTCCAAATGTCTTATTAATTTCTAGTCAAAGTTTTATTTGCCATTGATATTAGATATAGCCTATTATTATATAGTATTGTTTGTGTATGTTGTTAATCATGTACTAGTCCTGTAAAGGGTTAAATGTGCATTCAAAGTATTGGTCTAAAAGTAGTAGACAAATAAAAAAATGGTGACTCGGTGCATGAGGCTCCCGCTAATGTGGGTCTGGGAGGTCAAGATATACGTAGTCTTATCCCATTTTCGGGAGGGCAATAAATATTGTCTACAATTATGTGATGGAAAAACCTATATAAGGAGTCCTGTATTTGCATTTAAAAATACGAGTATGTTTTTGAATATAATCAACCTTTGGTTTATTGAAAAGAAGATTTTCTTCTTACAACTCTTACCCTTTTGGTTGATTCCAATTGGTATCAAGTTCTTGGTCTGTATCTATTCGGTGTGTTGGTGATCTGGATTTACATAGAATTGTGTTTTTATTTCTGCTATGTTTATCGTCCAATGTTTACGAGCATCATGGTTTCAGTGGGTGAAATTAGAACTATTCTGTTTGTTTGAGGCTTTTTTTCTTCAATAATTTCAAACACCTAAATTCTTGCATTTTTGTCGTGGAAGATCTAGGAATTTAGGAAGATTGTTATTTTCTTCAATCTAATCAACATTTAAATTCCTAATTTATTTTTAATCAATGATTTATTTATTGATATACTAATGGTGAATTCATTTCTGCCAGATCTATGATATATTCCAGCTCCTCCCTTCAAAAGTTCAGGTTGGTTTATCCTCAGTTACAATGCCTCCCAAAGGCCTTGAGATCACAAGGAAGTTTATGAACAAACCAGTCAGGATTCTCGTGAAACGCGATGAGCTCACCCTAGAGGGTATAATTTAAATATGATATTTTATGTTATTAAATTAAAAAAATTTATTTTATTTATTTTATGACTATTTTAGTCAAAAATAATAATAATAATAATAAAATATCCCATTTAGCTTAGGCCAAACGAGGGCTTATTAGAGTATGGAAACACCTCGAACTCGAACGCCACATTCTCTCTCATCAGTCCCTTCACTTCTCACTCTCCAAAACTCTCTCTCTCTCTCTGTCTCTTCACCGATCATCAACAACTGCTCTTTCTTCTTCTTCTTCGTCGTACTCAGGTATTCTCTATTTCGTTCTCATCGATCCAATACTAATTATTTTTTATTGTGTGTATAAATTGATTGTATATTTGATTTTTATTATTTTTGTGTTTTTGTTAAATTTTCCTATTGTTTCTGTGATCTACAATGGCTTATTAGTCTCTTCTGTTGCGTTGCATCGAGTAGTTGTTACTATTCGTGGTGTATTTGTATTTTTATGTCTAATTAATTCAATGTTTTGTGTGTTTAGTGTGATAAAGTTGTGTTTTTTTAATCATTATTAGGCTTATTGTGCAACTGAAACTTGATCACTTGGGTTTAAATTAATTTTTAATGCGTAGAATTGTCGTCCTACTAATTCAATGTTTTGTGTGTTTAGTGTAATGAAGTTTTTTTTTTTTATAATTTTTTTTTTAAAAATTATTTTAAACTATCATTCTTAGGCTTACCATGCAACCGAAACTACATCACTTGTATGTGAATTAGTTTTTAATTCATAGAATTGCTGTTCTTAAGATGTTTTGCTTTGATTTTTACGATCTGAGGCTGTATTGTGTGTGAAGGAGCATTTTTGGTACTTTTATGAACAATTGATTTCAACTAGAAAGCAAAGTACTTAGCATGTAATGAGAATGGTATGTGCATGCTAATTTGTAATAAGTGTGGGTGCGTGTGTGCATGTCTTCCCATCTCGGAACTGATCAATCCTGAAGTTGAATCCACAACTTCACTTGTCGAATGAACGACTACGTACAGAATCAAACTCCTTTTGATACTCTACGCTTGAATCTTCGGAATCCACCGAAGAGATCTCTCTCTTGAATTTAAAGTAACCAACTCCTTGATGTATGTATCTTAGATCATGATTGAAGAACTCTTCTCAAAACATCAAGGAAAACTCATAAAACCTCAGAACAAAACTACCAAAAAAACCCTAGGACTCTTGAATAAGATCTCGGAAAAATAGTCCTAAAAACAAACTAAACAGATATAAATAGGAATCCTGAGTCCGCGATCTTCGCTCGAGCGGCCAACATCCTGCTCAAGCGGCTTCAGCAAAAATTGCGTGCAACAAAACAGAGTTCCGCTCGAGCGCAAAATTATACCTTCCAGTATTTTTACAAACCTGAAAAAATACTGAGAGACTACAATATCCGCTCGAGCGCCAATGGTCCCGCTCGAGCGGGAAGAACAAAAAACACAGGAAAATTACAACTTGTTCAACACAAAGTTTTGTACCCGGATTTGACAATCAAGGAACCTAACAGGTTGTTTCTCTCTCTCTGTCGGTGGGAACAATAATTTTTTTTATTTATTTTGTTATGATTCTTGGTTGTTGATGATTACCTGTTGTTGGTTATTGTTGATGATGATGTGTTGTTGTTGTTGTTGTTGTTGTTGTTGTTGTTGTTGTTGTTGTTGTTGTTATTGTTAATATTGATGCTCTCTCTCTCTCTCTCTCGGTTCCCTCTCCGTCATCTCTCTTTCTTCTTTCTTCCTCTCTGTTTCAAAGAGAAAAGAGAAAGAAAAAAAAATCTAAAACGACATTGTTTTGGAACTCGAGCCATTCGAGCCTTATTATTTTCGAGCTACTAATCGAAGCTGAAAAAATATATATTAGTACATTTGTTAAAAATATAAATATCAAAATACTTTGAGATTGAAATTACCTTATTACCCATTACAATCATAGGTATTTGATTTGATCACAAAAATATATAAGCCCATCAATGTAGAGAGAGAAATATGTTACAAGAAAAAATGTAAAGCCATCATATTTGCAACTCCAGAAGACTTATTTAGATGCCCCTAATTTCTTTGGTGGCCTAATCTTTCCTTCCAAACAACAAGTTTTGATGGTTAATTCATGGCTCATAGTTTTGAAGTTTCCCAATTTCTATATTAAAAGCACCAAATATTTTTTTCAATAATTTTTAATAGCAATAAATCATCACTGATGGCAGTTCTCTGATGAAATAATCTAGGTTAATCATTGTCAACGAACTTGATAGCCACCATTTATAGAAATAAGTTCACCATTTCTAAAAGAAATTTATGCCAAAAAAGAACAAACAAAAAAAAAATCACCAGAAACACATACAAGTTGATACATGCAAATCATGTAAGTGAAGCATCATTGAGAGGCATAAATCTCACCAAATATTGGGAAACATTAACACCCTACCCTTTTTGTTTCATCTAAAGCAGAAATTAGTTAACCAGAAATTGTTTCACCAGAAATTATTTTCACCAAGGGTGCAAAATAAAATGGGCTTTTGATTATGGCTTTTTGATTTCTGTAAACGGTTCTCGGAAACAGCCCTATAATGAAACAAAATCAAACCAAAAACAAAATGCTAATGTTTCAATCCCAAAATAGAAACACATTTCATCAGCAATCACCCATTTACTCATAGAAATCTTACTCAATAATTCTTTGAAATCCTCATAGGTTTAGTTGACGAAACCCACAAATATGAACCCCATTTCGAAGAAATCCAAAATTGAAATATAAACCCATTTCAAAATACAAAACCAAAATATAATTTTATAGAAATCAAAACCAAAATCGAAACCCATTATAATCATAGGTTAGTTGATAACACCCATCGATGAAATAGAAATAGATAAACCCATCATATTTACAACTCATTTCAAATTTATTTTATGAAATTCATCATATTTTCAACCCATCATATTTTTTGAAATACATACAGAAATAGAAACCCACTTCAATGAAATCAAAACCCATCATATTTGCAGTCCATTTCAATATTTACAGACATAGAAACCCATTTCATATGTTAGAAAAATGAAAGGACAGAGGTGAATAAGAGTGTCACCTGTGAAAAGTTGCTGGAGATTGCAGAACCGAAACCGAGAGAGAAATTTGAGCTAAACCAGAGAGCAAAATGGAGAGCTGTTGGAGTATATAAGAAGAGAGAGAGAGAGAGATGAATCTATCTCTTAACATGAGAAAGAGAGACTAAGTGAAAAGACACATTTTGGGGGGAAAAGCAAAAACAAAGAAATTATCTTGACCCTTAGATACTTGGTAAGTATAATCTCAACCCTTAATTCAAAATTTATCTTAGATACATTTAAGACATTTTCAGAAAGCCTTTTGCCTTATTATATAGATATATAACAATGGATGGGTTAGTTTGAAAATGTCCTTCTAATTAATGGTCTAGATTTATCATTTAAAAACAATGGCTCAGATTTACATTTAAAATTATCTCTCACAAACTATCTTCAATGGTCCAGATTTGTCTAATTTAAATACAATGGTTCAGATTCAATAGTCCAGATTTGTCTGACTATCAACTCTTACCTACTCCACTGCACTTTACATCATCATTGTAAGCTCTCTCTGAAGAGCGAAACTTTGAATAACAAAGTTTTCGATATTCCTTCTGAAGAAGGAAGAACAAAGCTCTTTGTATTCCTTTATAGTTTTTCTCCACCATCACAAGGTAAGGCACTCTTATCTCCTTACTTTCTTTTTTTGTTCCTCAATTTTTTTTCTAGCTCATAGCTCTGTGATTTTTTTTCCCTTCATCCCATAATCCCCACCATTATATTGACAACCATTGTTCTCTCTCTCTCTCTCTCTCTCTCTCTCTCTCTCTCTCTCTCTTTCTCTCTCTCTCTCCAGTCATATGGGTTAAGAATACGAAGCAAAAAAACTCTGTGTTTTGTTCTTAGTTTTTATTTTTTTTTGGTTTTATTTTTTTCCTTCTATCCTCTATTTTTTTTTCCCAATTAAATGAGTTAATGTTCATATTAATTGGGTTGAGGTTCTCTTTATTAATCAAATGTGTATAAAGAAAAAATGGGTTTCGTGTTAATAATCATTTTTATTTCATCTTAGTCAAATGGGTTGAGGTTCTCACCAAACATGAAAATAGATTCTTATACATTTTTAGTGTTGAGAAGTGCTCTTACTAATTGTGTTTTTGTTTTTATCCTTCTATCTCAGATTTCTTTAATCTTCTTCTCAAGCAGACACTCAAGTTAGGAATCCTCTCCTTTGCAATTCTTTATTAGTTTCCCACTTTCTTTCTTGAATTGCAGTGGGTTAATGAATGTCAACATTAACTGGAATTTTAATTAATGTTCTGGTTAATGAATTTTCATTAATTGGGTTAATGAATGAACTCTCAGATTTCTTTAATGTTTTGAAAATTTCATGTCTAGTACTGGAATTTTCAATAATTAGATTAAATATTAAGCTTTTAATGTTTGGTTTAAAAAGAAATATAATATAGTGTGTATAGTTATGTATCTCGGTATATATCTGTTAAATTTCTAGAAGTTCAGTGGACTAAAATTATTTAACGTAATAATGGCATGTCTGGTATGAATAATAGGAATGTCGGATGAATCATGTTAATAGTTGAGTTTTTTTTTTTTGGTACAAAGATTCTGTTACACTTTAATTTTATAATATGATAAGTCTTTTTTTCTTTTTTATTTTTTTTTTCTCACTCTCTCTCTCTCTCCTTCTTTCTCTTTGGCTGCTTTGGATTTAGGATTTGAAGGAAATTTGTTGACTGAAAGGAATAGAGAATATTAAAAAGTTATGCCTTTTTATTTTATGACTTTTTTTTTTCTTTTAGTGATTTTTTTTTTAAAGTTTAGGCTTCTCTTTCTCTCTCTATTTCTAGAAGTTCAGTGGACTAAAATTATTTAACGTAATAATGGCATGTCTGGTATGAATAA